CCCCCAAATACTATTTATTGTAAAAGTAAAGCATAAACAATGTTTCCATGGTATTTTTAAATTGCATTATTTAAAAAGGCTTGAAGTATGATAGAGTATGAGTGATTTTCCCCTCTTCTCTGTTTTCCAAATTGCTTGTAACATGGCTGCAGTCTTTTGTAACTGGGAACATGTATATGCCTATAACAATTAATGGCATGGTTGTATCAAAGGGCAGATGTGTGGCATTCAACCTTTCTACACTCCCTTGAAAGTTGAGGTGATGATCTGTACTGTGAGGGAGGCCTGTGAGTTGCTCAGAAGGTCCTGAGCTTTCAGCATCCTGGATTCTTGGTTTAAACCCCATCTTCTCTTCCTAACTCCCTCTTCCCCAGTTCCTACTGGTTAAGTGTCCATAGTGAGGTTTCTGTCTCACTGTTCAGAAGCTTTCTGCAAGGTGCTGAGAATATTAAAGCTCACACTAGTTTGAGCAGCTAATCTATCATATGCTCTTGGATTTGGGGATTTCACCTTCTTTTAGGTTTCTTTGAGGATGCTGGTGACCATAGGTCTGGGGAAGAGTAGAACCACTTGTGAGAACAAGACTGAAAGGGACACAAACTCTCAGATCTCAAAAGGCCCCTAGCCAGTCTTGGGCAGCTCATGCTGTCTGCTAGTCCCAGGCCAGGATAGCCATCCAGTGTTTAAAAGGGAGAACACAGCTAGAACAAAAAAAGGTTCTAATTATTTCCTTACATGCTATTTGAATATTTGTCTGTTTAAGTAGGCAAAGGAGGTTTGAACCCTTTTTGGGTTTAAAATTTTAAATAAATAGGACCAGGCATAGTGACTCATGCCTCCTAGCATTCTGGGAGGCTGAGATGGAAGGATCCCTTCAGCTCAAGCGTTTAAGACCAGCCTCAGCAAGAGTGAGACCCAGTCTCTACTAAAAATAGAAAAAATGGCTTGGTGCCTGTAGCACAGTGGTTATGGTGTCAGCCACATCCACCAAGGCTGGTGGGTTTGAACCGGGCCCAGGCCAGTTAAACAATGACAACTATAACAAAAAATAGCTGGGCATTGTGAGAGGCTCCTGTAGTCCCAGCTACTTTGGAGGCTTAAGCAAGAGAATTGCTTAAGCCCAGGAGTTGGAGGTTGCTGCGAGCTGTGACACCATGGCACTCTGCCAAGAGCAACATAGTGACACTGTCTCAAAAAAATAAAATAAAATAAATAAAAATAGAAAAAAATAGCTGGGCATTGTAGCAGACGCCTATATTCCCAACCATTTGGGAGGCTAAAGCAGGAGGATTGTTTGAACCCAAGAGTTTGAGGTTGCTGTGAGCTAGGCTGACACCATGATACTCTAATCAGGGCAATAGAGTGAGACAATGTCTCAATAAGTAAACAAATAGATACTTTTTAAATACAAGTGAGATAAGTTCTTTAAAAATGATCTGGCATTTAGACAGTGCTGCAGTGTGCTGGTTGAGATGGAGTCCAGCTATACATGGCTGAGGGCAAAACCTTGAAATAATGGAGAGAGAAACTGGAAGATGTTCACCAACCTAAGAAATAATCTTTGAATAGAAAAGAGTGATCTCAGATTCACATGCAAGATAGATTAGGAAAAAGAGCCAACTAGGAGAAAGTTAGGAACTCACTCCCCACTAAGAAGTCTTCTGCTTTAAGCAAGATCCAGCTAATAGCAACCTGCAATGCGTTTTCACAACAAGCCCCTGAAAATCACCAGAACCAAGGGTGGGCCTAGGGGATGGCTGCCAGGACAGAGTTCTCACTGCTGTGATTCAGCACAAGTTAGAAACCTGCACTCTGCTTTAGCCTGGAAAAAACCAAAGTCAGCAAACCCAGTTCAACTGGGCAAACATTTGTTGATTGTATGCTAACTGTATTTTGCTAGGTACTGTGGAGATTACAAAGATACATAAAATAAGAACCTTCCCTCAAAGTATTAGCACTCTAATTAGGTAAAGAGATCGGAGATACATAGCTATTTGGACAGATAGGTAGATATATAGAGAGATATGTATATACACATATATAACATACTTACATGTATATATGAATATAAGGCAATACCCTTTTGAGGGATAGTTTAGGAAGTAAAATGTTTGGGCATATTAAAAAAGCTAAGGCAGGGTGGGGCACCGTGGCTCACTCCTGTGATCCTAGCATTCTGGGAGGCCAATGTGGGTGGATTGCTTAAGCTCAGGAGTTTGAGACCTGCCTAACCTAGAGTGTGACCCCATCTCTATTAAAACAGACAGACAAACAAACAAAGGCGTTGTGGTGGGCATCTGTAGTTCCAGCTACTCAGGAGGCTGGGGCAAAAGGAACTCTAGAGCCCAAGTTTGAGCGTGCTGTGAGCTATGATGCCACAGCACTGTACCCAGGGTGATGGAGTGAGACTCTGTCTAAAATAAATAAATACAAAATAATAATGCAAAAGAGGCCTAATTATATTTAAGTTTGTCTTTTTCTTTAGATCTAATTCTAAAGTCGTAGACCATTCTTTTAAATATTTGTAGCTTCTTTTTGATTGTAGTACATTCCTAGAAAATGTCTTCTAAAGTAGAATGTCAGACCCTTGAAGGCAGGAGCAATGTGCCTAAAACCACCCTCAATAAGTGTTTGTTGGATATTGTTAAAGTAACATGCAAATTTTTTGTTTGTTTGTTTGAGACAGAGTCTCACTTTATTGCCCTCGGTAGAGTGTTGTAGCATCACAGCTCACAGCAACCTCAAACTCTTGGGCTTAAGCAATTCCCTTGTTTCAGCCTCTCAAGTAGCTGGGACCACAGGTGCCCACGACAACACCTGGCTGTTTCTTTTGTTGCAGTTGTCATTGATGTTTTAGCTGGCCTGGGCCAGGTTCAAACCCACCAGCCTTGGTGTATGTGACCGACGCCCTACCCACTAAACTACAGGTGCCACCATAACATGCAAATGTTAAACATCAGATGGGCATACTCTCAGGGAGGTCTGTCTCCCAGTAAGCTAATCATAAAATTCGTAATTACTTTTCACCTTTGAGACACAGTCTTCTAAGATATATTTTCAGTGTTCCATGTGGTCTTTATTTTGATGCTCTTGTCTTACAGCTGAACATAAAATCATGAGCATCTAGTTGAGACCAAGGAATCACTGCTTTCAGCATTCTCCATGGCTTGTATCTCTGCATCTTTATGATCACTGCAATTTTAATCACTGGCACTCCTGTTTCCATTTCCCACTCATCGCAAGATGCAATAAAATGTTCAAAAAGACATTTTTTTTCTTTGAGACAGTCTCATTTTGTCATCCTCAGGAGGGCGGTAGAAGCTGTGGTGTCACAGCTCACAGCAACTTCAAACTCAGGCTCAAGGATTCTCTTGCCTCAGAGAAGGCAAATTACTTGTCCTAAGTAACTGGGACTAAAGGCACCTGCCACACGCCTGGCAATTTTTTTTTTTTTTTTGAGACAGAGTCTCAAGCTGTCACCTGGGTAGAGTGCTGTGACATCACAGCTCACAGCAACCTCAAATTCTTGGGCTTAAGTGATTCTGTTACCTAAGCCTCCCAAGTGCTGGGATTACAGGTGTGAGCCACCAAATCCAGCTTGTCAAATCTTTTAAACAAGCATGGCCATACTGACAAAGAAGGAGAAGACGGAATTTAACAGTTAGATGATTTTCAGGACCTCAACATTTTTATCTGAAAAGCAGCTTAGGAATGCAGCAAAATCTAGGTTCAGAAGTCAAATGTCAGCTGGTGTACTGGCTCATGCCATAGTACTCCAAGAAGCTGAGGCAGGTAGATGGTTTAAGCTCAGGCGTTCAAGACCAGCCTGAGCAAGAGCAAGACCTGTTGCTACTAAAAATAGAAATAGTAGCTGGGCATGGTGGCACATACCTGTAGTCTCAGCTACTCTGGAGGCTGAAGCCGGAGGATCACTTGAGCCCAGGAGTTTGAGCTTGCAGTGAACTTGATGACGCCAGGGCACTCTATAGCCTGGGGCAACAGAGCAGGACTACATTTCCAAAAAAAAGTCAAATGTTACTAAAGCAGAGGGCAGCCTGTCGCAGCTTTTGCTTTATGCCTGGTAGCTGCTCACTCAAATTTCAAATGATCCTAATAATGAGAGAAGATAAATAACCTTGTAGGTGAGTTAGCCTCATGAACCCAAACATGTCAATTTGCAGCAAAATGTTACTTTCCTTCTTAGACCTGTGAGCCAATCTTAAGTAGCTTTCTTTGGGCAAGGCTAAGACACGTCAGTATATACTAAATCTATATGTAGGAACCTGACAGCAAAGGGGCTCTTCCTCCCCGGGGTCTGGAGGGGTGTGAGTGCCTGTCTGTCTGTGTGTGCTGTTTTAACCTTCTGGTGCTGGACTCCGAGTTTCCTTCTGCTCTTTTCTCCCCGTGATGCAGAGCCCAGCGCTGGTGCACTAACCTGCAGCGTCTCTGTGCTTCTCTTCTTACCTCCTCTTTCCCCTTCTCTCTCCCTCTTGCTGTGGTGTGTCCAGAAAAGGAAGTCGAGTTCCAGCGTGCACCTGATGGTGAGCCTTGCCTGCCCACCCATCCGCCCACTCCATGCTGCCTGCACCCGCCCGCAGCCACGCAAACCCGTTCTGCCGTGTGCGTGTGCTTCACTCATCCTCACTGCATGTCTGTGCTGTGTGGGCAGGTGTGGCCTGTCCTGCCAGGCAGGGGCCATTGCCCAAGGTCACCCAGTGGCCTAAAAAGTGGGCATTGGAGGGTGTGGTATGGCACCTGCTGCTGTGGAAGTTGTATACCTCCCAGCAGCCCAGAGCAGGAGGTGATACTTGGGGCTAGGTGACAAGCACAAGGAGAGACCCTTACTCACTGTTGTTCAGGAGGAGAGGCCCTGCTCACCTGGCATGAGCAGTTGCTTCCTGCAGACTGGCAGCCAGAGGGCAACCGTGTAGGCACCTGGCTCTGAGCCTCACTCTCTTGGTGTATCCCCTCTACAAGTCCCATTATCCAGCTGTGCCCAGTGTTTCATCCTGTCCTCCTGCCCACAGTAGGGGTGGCACAGGTAAAAGACTGCAGTGGACTCATCATCTTTCTTGTGGGGCACAGGACACCAAAGAGAATATAATAGCCTGCGTTGTTATGAAATGATCCATTAGCCCCAGAGGTGGGGCTGTGTGGTGACACCCATCCCTCTGCTGATGAGGCAGGTTGTATGGGCACCCTGGAATCCTTGTCCCCAGTGAGAGTTTTGGTCTCAGCTGGGCATCGCAGGCAGGGTGGCCCTCTCCAGTCAGCTCTGAACAGGAGATCTGCATCAGCAGCTGAGCTAGGAGGACTCTGCTTTTTCCAGGGAGAAGTAGGAAGCAGAGCTCCTGTGCATTCAGACCTGTGGCCTGACTCCTCCCACGACCCCTCTTCTCTAGTCTGCAGAGCCCAGTGGGGTCTTGCAGTGCGTAGGGCCTAGCTCATAGTTCTACATCTTGCCCTCAGTTTGGGAATGTCAGCCAATGACAAGCAGGCTGGGGTGGATGGCTTCAGGTCTGGTCCAAGAGGCCTCCAGGTACGTAGGGACAGTGTGCTGTCCATGTGTGTCCTAGGAGAGAAGAAGTGTCCTAACTGTCAGTGCGTCTTCACGTGCACCCTGCACAGAGTTGGTAGCTGCTCATTCGTCTCACTGCCAGTTGAAGAACTTGCAGGCCTGGGGCTGCTCTTCAGTGGCCTCCAACTCCTGAGACTGAGTGCACTGGTTAGGGAATTGTAAGAGGCAGAAAGTATGGCATGAGTATGGCTCTGGTTCCGGAGATGGGTGTCCTTCCTTCCTACCATCGTCCTTCTGTCCCTCCCTTGCTGTACCACTCAGTGTATCATTTTGAAAGGCGAGGAGATACCTCTGGTGGTGTTGTCCCTCTTAGGATGTTGGCTTGTGGGCATCCTATGCTGTCCTGGGGTCTGGGTTCTGGGACTACAGCCAGGGCCCACACTGGGATTCCCCTGCCCCTCCTTGGAGCTCTGCCCTCACTTGCAGCTCACCAAGGTCAAGATTTACCAAGCAGAAAGATAAAGAGCACAGCCCTGTGTCTGCACCTCAGGGTCAGTGGATACATTTTGTTTCCAAAGTCAACTTCTATCCCTGTCCAATCTAGATACCAACTGTTTGGCCAGGTGTTCTTTCTCTTCTCCTTCCTCTTCTTTTCAGATTAGACTTCAAGTTGGTATTGTAAGGGGAAGGAAGCCCAAGTGCCGTGTTGAAAGGGCAGCAGGAGCTGGCCCACAGATAGGTGGCCCAGAGTTTCACAATTTCATTCTGCTTTCTTATCAACTACCCTCCTTTTCCCGCTGTAAAGTAGAAAGAAGATCTTGAATTTCTTTGGGTCAAGAATGGTTGTACAGTAACATAGCACCTGGCATAAGCAGAAATTTCTGGAGAGATGCTGTAAAACAAATCTTTGGGCTGGTCCCACCTTGAGGATGCCTCTAGAGCTAGGTCTCTGGGCTCCTCCAGACACTCCCTTCCTCTGACCATTTCTCCAGCCATTGCTCCCATCTGCATAGTGTTATGGAGGCCACCTCAGGCCTCACTCCTCTGAGTCAGGGCAGGGGGCAAGGGAGGTCTGGGAGCTGAACCTGAGCATCTTCAGTGACTCGGGAGGAACTAAACCATCTGTTTTCTTGTCTCAGCCACAGAGCAACAACAAAAACAGTCTCGTAAGCCCAGTCCAAGAGCCCGCGCCCTTGCAGACGGCCATGGTACCTCCTGACTACAGCTTCTCTGCCTCTGTCCCTGGCTGCCTCCTGCTCCTTCCCTCTTCCTCCTCTTGCCCCCCCACCCCCCAGGCCTCCTTGGCCTTGTTCCTTTCTTGAACCTATAGAGTAGGCTGCTCTGTGTGCTGCCCTCTAGGCCCCTCTCCTTTCATTGTCTGCTTGGCTGCACTCGTCCTGCATGGCAGAACTGCTGCTCCTGCTTCTTCCACTGTGCTATTGGCGGGGGGAGTGATCAGGGCTCTCAGCTAAACCTTCCACCCCTAGGCTGGGACCCCAGTAGGTCTACTTTGGGGTCAGGAAGGTGAGTTGCTTATAAAAGGAGAGAGTAAGAGCTTTCTTGGAACCTGTACATCAGTTCTTGGAGTCCTCCTTATAAAGCCTGCTTCAGCCTCTCCTTTGCCAAGTCAGGAAAACAAGTAGGAGGGTTGGGTCCCCACCTCTGGATAATGCTGAGGTCTCTGGTTCCTTGAGAGCCATGCTGTTGAGTTCTTTCTGGGCTCTTCCAAGGGCACTGTGTGCTCTCAGAGCTCCTGTGCTAACAGGAGCTAACTAGAGAGTTAAGGGGGTGACTGGGAGAGAGGTAGGAGTGATTGTGCCTGCTACTCCTCTCCTTCCTGTGGACCTCATGCTGCCTCATGTGGTGCTGGAGGGCCAGGAACTCTGGGGAAGGTGGAAGGTGGGTGAAGTAGGCAGCTCCCTGGGCTCAGCTGGCTGAGGGGGCCTCCTGCGTCTTTCTGAGAGACCTCATCCTTCTACTCTCCTGTGTTTCTGCCCCTGGGCACCCCTTGATGAACACTGTGGGCAGGCTTGGTCCACACCTTCAGTCCCATAGCTCTTTCAATATACTTGCCCATGGGATCCCAATGTGGAAAGAGTCCTCAGAACCAGCAGGAAGCAGGACAGAAACCATTGTCCTCCCAGCTTCCTGGGTACCTGCTTCTGTTAAGTGCCAGGCCTCTCCTTCTTACCAGCCAGTGCTATTGCCTAAATTCAGGGCTCCCCAGGTATCTTGGATCTGAATTGAGCCAGGATATTTTGTCTAATGTGGATGGCTGGTAGGCAGGCCTCAGTGATCATCATAGGGTCTATGGGGGTACTGGGATGAAGGTGGGGTCCCTTGGGAGGAGCTTTAGGTCTTTCCCCAAGTCAGGAGGGTGATTTTCATTTTCTCTCACAGGAACCACAAACCACCGTGGTGCATAACGCTACAGATGGGATCAAGGTGAGTGGTTCCTGAGCCTATCTCCTGCTTTCCAGGTCAGTAGGGAACAGGTGGGTTGGGTCACAGGGGTCTAAGGGTCCTGCAGATGATAGCCTACAGGCTGTACCCCAAGGCTGAGGTGTTTGCAGAAGCTAGGCTGGAGGCAGTGTGCGTCCAACAAGGGCCTTATACTTTAGTGAATCAGAGCCTAGGCTCTGCAGACCAACAGACCTGGTTCAAATCCTGGCTCTTTGCCACCCAGCAAGTCACTTGACCACTCTGCACCTCAGTTTTCTTATCTGTAAATTGGGGAGAATAATAATAGAATCTTCCATGAATTGTGAAGTTTGATTGAGGATAAAAGTTAGCTAAAAAAACAGAGGCAGTATCATCAGACCCTAGAGCATTCTCCATTGCCTCACCCCTCACATCCTCTGCATTTTCACTAACATTAGTAAATATTTATTGAGCCCAAACACCATCCACAGCTGTGGTTTACAGAAGTGACAAGAGAAATTTCCTGTCCTTGGGGTGGGGTAGGGGGACAGATAACAAATCAGTAATCAAATACATAAGATAAAATCCAAGTGATAAGTGCTCTGAAGAAAATGGCACAAAGTAAAGTGAGGGTGGGTTGAACAGGGCCTTTCATTAAGTGGTCAGGAAAAGGCCTTTCCTCTGATGGGCAACTCTAGGGCAGGGTGCCCTAGGCAGAGGG